CACACACACACACACACACACACACACCTCTCCTGACCCGGTTCCTTGCACGCATTCTCCACCCCGTCCCACCCCCACCAGCGCAAGCCTTACCGACTGGTGGTTCTTGGCAGACACGATCTTGACAGTATCTGGATCCCAGATCACCAGGTCGCTGTCAGAACCCACAGATACTCTCCCCTTACGGGGATACAGGTTGAAGATCTTGGCAGCATTTGTGCTTGTCACAGCCACAAATTGGTTTTCATCCATTTTCCCTGTGGCCTATTGAAATATAAAAAAAATTTTTTTTTTAAATTGTCAATGCAGGGCTTTTGAGCTCAGAGCAGGGTGACCACAAAGGCCCCCCCAATAGAAGAGGGACCTCCGAGGTTGTGACCACAGAACCTCACCCGGCAAGCTTCAGAATAGGCTGGGCTGTCATGGCTACCCAGGCAAAATGGTTAAATGCATGGCTTCAAATGGAAGTTACGATGCTGAAGTATCCATTTTTTCTGGTTACATTTACTTACTTTTACCCCCTTTTAATTCCAAAAAGGATTATAGAGCGTTCACAATAAAAACAAACGTGACAATGAGCACATTTTTTAGGTATGTGCTTGTATTTACATGGGCATAGGATAAAAATGGAAAACCTCAGCCAAATGATAACAATGGTTATCCCTGGGGTGTGGAATTATGAGTAATTTTTGTTTTCTTTCGTGTGTGTTTTTTGGTGGTTTCCAAGTGTTCTTTATCAAGAATGCATCGTGTTGGTAATAAAAAATATGTATTATTTTGTAACAATTCCAGATAGTGCCAAGAAAAACACATACATACACTCATAAATACATAACAATGTAAATTAAAAAAAAAGACAAACTGTAAGTATGTAAGAGAAGAGACAAAAATATTTATCCTTTCCCACTTCTCAAAACAAAAAGCCTAGATAAGGAAAGAAGAATTTAGTTTAAAAATCTAGCTTTGAGCTTCCTGGTAGCCAAGAAGAAAAGGGAAACCTGGTGGAGTCTACTGTGTAAAGACATGAGGCCTTAGATCATCTGCATGCTACTTGGCTCTGACATGAGTGTCTTTAGGGTTTTTAAAATAAAACAGAGGGACATAATTAGTTACTAATTTCACTGAAATCTTTGGGAGAGGCTCCATTTGCATGGCTATGTTTCTGTCAGCTTTTGTGATGTTAACAATGAAAGGAAAACCAGGCCCCTTTGCNGTTTATTTTAAGGAGAGGAAAAGTAGTGTACACTAAAGTGGGGTGTTGCAATAGTGACAATGGAGGAGGTCAGTGAAGGTCTCTCTAAATCGGTTAACCTTCATCTTAAGGATCCACGGAGCTTGTTATGGGGCCAGGGCTGAGGAGGGGAGGAGGCTGGGGCATGCAGAGGAGTGGTGTGGATAGCAGTGTCCCCAGCAGAGGAAACCCATGGTGGAAGCGTCGCGGAATGTTAGGTCCACCTGCACGGCTGGAGCAGAGCAGGTGGGACAAGTGGCAGTGTGCGGTGAGGCTGTAAGTGCTGGCAGGATGAGATCCCGTGGGAGCGCCACCCTCACGCTCCTCAGCACAGATGGGAGTTGGCAGGCCTTGAAATGAGTGTCCTGTGGTCTGACCCACTGGCTTGTGGCTGTGGCTGTGAACTTGCCCTGGGACTGTGGAGCTAGCCAGCAACATCACCCAAGTGATGCTCTGTGCTAGGCCTGGTGCCAGGTGCTGGGGCTTATGGCCCCATGAAACATGGGGCCTCCTCCAACGGGGCTATTAGACAAACACTGCAAGACCCCCTGAGGCAGCGGTACTGTGGCACACACCCTCCACCTGTTACAGGTGAGGTAATGAGGACACTTTGCAGAGTAGCCTGACAGGACGGGAAGGCCCAGCGTAACACCTGGAGGGCATATGCACAGAGCCTTCCTCCTCCTCTGCTAGTGACTCAGGTGCAGGCCCACCAGCCATGCTTGTCACACTGGTGGATGCTAGTGACCCAGGTGGATGAGGACCACATCTGTACCCCTGTACCCCCCCAAAGCCTTGACCAATAACTCCAGGTCATCGTCATTTCTTTGGATCCAGATTCTAAGTCACAATGATGGAAATAAAGAGCTGATATAAGGGACGTTTGAAATAAAAAACATAAATAAGATTTTATTTGAACTTCAGAACTAGCTGAAAGAGATATCAACATTTGCTCCTGTGGAGCAAGTAGACAGAATGGGACAGGGAGGGCTGGGTGTGGACTGCTGGTTCTCACTGTAAGCCTTAAAGAGTATTAAAAAAAAATATATATATA